GACCAAAATTTGCTTTAAATGACCTAAGTCAAAGAGCATCTCTAAACTAAAAAAAAATTCATACCAATAAAACTTAAGATAATTTAAGGTAATTTGTATATCCCTTCATTAAAATTAATATTATTAGTTTTTTTAAATTTAACTACAAATTTTATAAAATAATTTAATTGAAATATTATCGTTAACAAAAATATTTTAATAATTATTATAATATTTAATGTAGATATTATTATGTCATTTATATATCTATTTTTTCTACTTTTTCTAGTTTTAATATGTGTGTGCGAATTTTAATATATAATATAAGTACCAGGTCAAATATAAGGAAGGACCGAGGAATAACCTACTTAACCTGTTTATTACGGATAAGCACTAATGGATTCTCTTATGGGCCTACATATGGGCCTAAGCCCATTAAGGTTAGTATAAATAAGTGCGATTAGTGACAAACAAAGGTACGTTTTCATAATTACCAATTTGATTAGCATTGATATCTCTGAGACTGAGGACTGACTTAAGCATTGGAGTGCCTTTTACAGGTACCCCTCTCTTTTCCTAGGATACCTCATGGAAGACGAAGACCCAGCAGGAGTAGCAAAATTACCGGAGTACCCTCGTGCAGGTGCATTTTGGCGCCCACCGTGGGGCCCGTTTTGAAGGCCCGTATTGTTTATCTCTTTTGCAGGAAGAAGATTTTGTAGAAGATGGTCACTACTAGGAACAACAACTACTCGGTTCAACCCGAACAGGACTCGAGGCTAGTTGCTGTGGAAGATCAAACTGATCATTCAGATGCTGTGAATATGCTTCGTGAAGAAATAGAAGCTGTCAAGCAAGCCCGAGAAAAAGACGCTCAGGAGCTTGAAGCACTTAGGAGAGAAAATGTCGAGTTGAGAAGCTTGAACAGAACTTGGAACCCTACGACTGAGCATCCCAACAATGAGGCATCCTCACATCATGCACCGACAACCTCACGAACACATGCCCCTCCCATGCAGCTGTCAGCCATCCCTAGGCAACCCTCCCCTCGGGTAACAATAACACCTGACTCATACAAACACCCTTTCACTCAAAGCATTATGGAGGCAACCATATCTGATAGCTGGAGAAACTTTCCTCTAGAGAAGTACGATGGGTCCTCGGACCCTGACGACCATTTGAACGCATATCTCACACAGGTTACTTTGTTGACAACAGAAGATGCCGCCTTATGTCGCCTTTTCCCCACTGCACTAAAAGGGCAAGCATTGAGTTGGTTCATTAAGCTTTCACCTGGCTCCATAAATTCATTTGAAGAATTGGCATCTTTATTTACAGTGCAATTCGCTACAAGCAGACCTTACCAACTGACATCATTGGCGTTGGCCAACATCAGACAGGAAAAGAAGGAATCCTTAAGGTCATTTATGGATCGTTTTAACAAAATCGCAATGGAGATAAAAAACCTGAACCCAGCTGTCGCAATGGATAGGTTGAACACAGCATTGAAACCCGGACCTTTTGTAGATAGTTTATGCAAAAAACCTCCGTTGGATATGAATAACTTGAGGAGAAGGGCTGAAAAATACATGAAAATGGAGGAATTAACTGAATCAAGAAATCAAGCTAGAGCCGAGGCTATGCCAGTTGAGAAGCAAGAAAGAATCTAAGGGAAGGAAAGCTCTCGACCAATTGAGATGGACCATACAAAGGACACACTCGGTCGAGTGTGAAAAATAACTCAAGACCTCGACCGAGGACACACTTGGTCGAGCGTGAAAAAGTAACTGAAGACCTTGGCTGAGGACACACTCGGTCGAGCGTGAAAAAGTAACTCAAGACCTCCGCCGAGGACACACTCGATCGAGCGCGAAAACAACTCAAGACCTCGGCCGAGGGCACACTCGGTCAAGTGTGAAAAACAACTCAAGACCTCGACCGAGGACACACTCGGTCGAGCGTGAAAAATGAATCAAGACCTTGGCCGAGGACACACTCGGTCGAGCGTGAAAAACAACTCAAGACCTCGGCCGAGGACACACTCGGTCGAGTGTGAAAAATAACTCAAGACCTCGACCGAGGACACACTTGGTCGAGCGTGAAAAAGTAACTGAAGACCTTGGCTGAGGACACACTCGGTCGAGCGTGAAAAAGTAACTCAAGACCTCCGCCGAGGACACACTCGATCGAGCGCGAAAACAACTCAAGACCTCGGCCGAGGGCACACTCGGTCAAGTGTGAAAAACAACTCAAGACCTCGACCGAGGACACACTCGGTCGAGCGTGAAAAATGAATCAAGACCTTGGCCGAGGACACACTCGGTCGAGCGTGAAAAACAACTCAAGACCTCATCCGAGGACACACTCGGTCGAGTGTGAAAAATAACTCAAGACCTCGACCGAGGACACACTTGGTCGAGCGTGAAAAATAACTCAAGACCTTGAAAAACCCCTCAGTCAAAGCAGTTAAAAGGAATAAAAAATTACTTGATTTATGCCCTTGGTCAAAGCAGTTAAAAGGAATCAAAAATTACTTGATTTATGCCCTCGGTCAAAGCAGTTAAAAGGAATCAAAAATTACTTGATTTATGCTCTCGGTCAAAGGAATTAAAAGGAATCTAAAATTAAGAAAATCGTTTTATTCCTCGGCAAATTAAGGAAACCGTATATAATAGTCAAAGGAATCTAAAATTAAAACCGTCTTATACCCTCGGTGAGAGTTTTACGTATCAAAAGGCCTTCGGCCAATTAAGGAAACCATTTTGGCCTTAGGCCAAATATTTAAAAGATAAAAATTTCACGTATTAAAGATTCCGCAGTGAAAAAACTTTTGAAAGCCAAGGTTATATATATATTAGCCCTTGGTCAAACAATTGAAGCATAAAGCTGTACAAGATTCCTCGGCCAAGTATATTCCTTGGTGAAAAAAGTTTTGAAAACCAAAGATTTTTATAGTCCTCGGCCAAATGTTTAAAAGCGAGAAATCTCACATATAAAAGATTCCTTAGTGAAAAGGTTTTGAAATTCAAAGTTTTATATACATAAATATGGTAGTCCTCGGCCAAGTTTGATTGAAAGCAGCAGTCCCACATTAATTGAAAAACGGCAATATCAGAGAAAGCAGCAGAAAAGATCCGCAAACATTTCTTTTTAGGATTTCTCCATTTTTTAATATTTATCAAAAAGCCTTGAAACCCTGGGAGAATGTATACCAGATAATGATATGAATATTAGGGAAAACACCTTAGAAGAATCTATAACTCCTCGCGATCACATCGAAGACTTCTTGTATCATTAATGGACCCTCTTATGGGCCTGCATATGGGCCTGGCCCATCAAGGTTAGTATAAATAAGTATGACCAGTGACAAAGAGAGGGACGTTTTCATAATTACCAGTTTGATTAGCAGTGATATCTCTGAGACCGAGGACTAACTTAAGCATTGAAGTGCCTTTTGCAGGTACCCTCTCTTTCACTAGGATACATCATGGAAGACGAAGACCCAGCAGGAGTAGCAAAATTACCGGAGTACCCTCGTGCATGTACAATATATATAAAGGAGGGATCTTTTTACTCCAAGAGTAAGTTTACATATACTTACTTCGTTCAATAACTCATTTTCAACAATTCAACCGTTTAATTTAAAGTTCTTAATGCATAGATCAAATCTGCAAATTTTTAGAAATTTAAAAATCATTTAATACTTCATTTCATTAATTCGAATCAATGTATAAAATAATTTTATAATTATCTGTCAATTTGAATTAATAAAATAAAGTATCAAATAATTTTTAAATTTTTAAAAAATTTGCAGATTTGATCTATGCATTAAAAACTTTAAATTGAATAGTTGAATTGTTAAAATTTGATCGAGTTATTGAACGGGATAAGTCTAAGTATATTTACTCATAGAATAAAAAAATCTCTTATTTTATATATATATATATATAAAGACAACTTATTCTATCAATTCTTAACTTGAGTATGACAAATACACTAGATAAAAAAAAAAATCATATTCCTATTCAGGCAACAAACAACATAATAAGATAAGATAATTATCTTATATTATCGTATCCTTACCACCAAATAAATTCTTAAAAAATTATACCAATTCTCGATCATTAATTTTATTATAATCTAATAGCCTTAAAAACTTTGATATCAAATTCTATTTATCCAATGATTAACATCAATTTCAATCCTTACCACTTCCACCACCCCCGGCATATATATCTAGTGTTAAAAAAAGAAAGAAAAAAAAAAGTGCCTTAGAACTTTCACTGTTTCACTGATCAAAATCTGTAAAATTAAAAGCCGTGTAAAGAGTGTTCCACTTTTTTCCAATGCTCATATTTTGAAGTTCTAGAGAAATACAGAATATAACAGCAATGATATCATATCAGCATTCGACAGAAGTTTAGTCTCAGACAAGCATCATGAGCATATATATTTAGGAAATAAACCAGTACCATGAAACTTATAAACCTAAATCACTGAAACTATAAAGCAACTTCCGTAATTGATGTCAATACTTGCAAAGTTTTCGTTATCGAAAAAATTCAAAGAAACTAAACTGCCTCCAAATCGAAACCCATCCCAACTCTTTAAATCCCGCTCCCTCTGTCAAATACTATAACTGTGATTCATTAAAAATCTCTACACAAGTTATAAAACTTTTAATATTAATTACCTCATAGTCAAATTTTAGTGTTTAGCCAGAGATAATGCAAAAAATGAATTTGTTGCCAAAAATAGTAAAACGTTAAACAACCTACAGCAAATGATTACATTGCAGAAGAAATTGAGGCTGCATGTCAGTACATATGTAGATAATGTACCATATACTAACTATAAAAATATTGTTGATGTTAAAGAAAGACCAACTGCAGTATGAATGAATAAATTTTTTTTTGTGGGTTTGGGGTTTGGATGAACAGAAAGACCTGGACGTAATTTGGAAATGAATGCAACAACCAAAAACGATACATAAAAGAAATCAATAGACCGAAAGACTACTATGAAGAACCGAAGCTTGTTTCCCTTAGATTGATTTAATGGAACAGGTAAAAAGTAAAAAGAAAAGAATCACATCGATACATCATCCGACAAATCAGCAGAGGCATCAGAACATAAATCATCTGCAACATTCTTTTTTTTTTCCTGTGTGCCTCAGTAGTGTGGGTGGGGTCAAGCTCCAGGGCAGAGGTAGGTGATATACTGCTTCAAAGACACACGTCTGTTATGGAGGTGGGGTGGAAAATTCCAGAAAAATCTAGTTGGAGACCCTTTGGCACAAGGTTTGAGATGGAGATACGAAGGAAAAGCTGGGAAATGAAATATTTGAAAATTGAAAACTGATAATTGTGCTGGTAGGAAGAAATAATGGAGGAAGTAGGTGTGGTTTGCTTTATCTCAACTACAATTTGGTGTTTCTTATAAATTGTCGATATGCATAATTTCCATACACTAACATTCCTCAATAACCAATGAAACTGCTAAGATAGAAATTTCTTCATCGGTATTGAACGGACACTAGGATATTTGTTGTTGAAAACACATAAGACGATAACCTGCTACTCCATTTAATTAGTAGTCATTTCGGATCAGCAAAGGCTACTAACTACAACCCTTCAACCGAGATTCAGAGCATCAAAGAAACGTTGATTTTACCTCAATCGCCCCATACTGGCCATACATCATCACTCCATTTTCTTTTTCCATTGTGAAAATTAAAATATTAACCCAGTAGGGAGGGGCGATGCCCTCCTCATGACAAAAAAAAAAGTGGCTAGGACGCCATACAAATAGAATACCTGTCTCCTCTTCAACAAAATAAAATGCAAAATTGAGATAGAAAAGAAAACTGTCTACTCCTTGCTATTCACAAGCCTCCTCCCAATCATCTACTACATCAGAAACTTCTAATGCATCGAAGTTTCTTGCATGCTGCCCTCCTAGGTCTGAACCACCATCATGAGGTTCCAACTTTGTGACAGCACTACTTTTAGAGTCTTTCCTAGAAACATCAATTTTCACGGCTGCAACAGATGAACTTGATGATGATTCTTGATTTAAGACACTCCAAGGATTTATTGAAGCAGATATTGGGGCATCTTTCTTCTGAATAGGCAACTGGACATTAGCAGAACCAGTAGTCCACTCCTCATCACCCCAAGAATCTTCTTTCCAACTTAGTTCTTGAATAACATCCTTTTTCCACGGATTACCCTTTAATGCTGCCAATCCTCCTCTTCCTTTCATTGTCCCAGATCCTCCCCATGCATTTGTAGCTGATGCCCCAACATTTGGAACAACCACCGCCACAGCTCCCTGATAAACAGTACCATGATCTAACCTCCTCATGGCAGTTGCAGCTCGGGCCGGGTCATTAAAAACGGCCAAAGCATTTTTGTCATTTAACCAAACCAGTTCACACTCACCACCGAATCTCAACACCAGTGCACTGATATCTGCATCCCTTGGTAAGTCTAGAAAAGAGACAACAAGTCGAGGATCCATATCTACCAAAGGATCAAATGCAGGAGGAAAGGGCGCATTTATAGTTGTAGTACCCTTAATCCCTAGCACACGTGCAGGAGCTCTTGATTTTGGGGTAACATGAACAACTACAAAACGCTTTGGCTCACGACCAGCTGCATTCACTACAAGCTTCCATCTCTCAGCAATAAGCCTCACTGCATCTCCTTTGTCCTTTAACATAGGACAGAAAATATGGACCTTTAGACCCTGTGTATTTCCTCTGCTCTTGCCAAGTACTAAAAACTTACATCTCTCCTCAACGGATATAACCCATTTAGGATCACGTCTCAACATGTCAGCAAGCAATTCAGAAGCACTAGAATTATCACCAAAATGGAGAGAATCCAGATTTGGAGTGGTAATCTCAAAAGCATCTGCAAGAACCCGTTTACGCTCTAACTTAGCACAGTCATCATTACACTTCAGTTTTCTTTGTCCAAGGGGAACTTTTTTGCCATTTGCACCCAAAGGTTGAAGCAGCAAAGGTAACTTTGGAATAATGGAAGCTTCATGTACAGCATCAGCATTATAATTAGCACAGCTGCCACCAGCATCACAAGGAACATTTGCTGTTATTCGGCCACAAGAACAAGTAATGCTGACAGGGAATTCGCATCTTGTATCTGGACATGGTGATGAAGGGTGACATGGAGCTGTACATGTATGCCGGCATTCTCTCCTTGGAGCACCACAAGTTTGTCCACAAGAGGCTCGAATACCTGGCACAGGAGATGGATTATCACAAGGTGGGAGGTGACATGTTCTGCCACATGCATGTAAACCGCATTGTCTGGTCTTTCCACAGAGTTTATTGCATCTAATATCCTTTGAACCACAAGGTATGTTTCTAAGAGCTACATGCCCACCAATGCATTCTTTTGTTACAGGCACCGAACAAGGAGGGCAATCTCCAAAATGGCAGCTGTGAGAGGCTGGATGGGAACAAGGCTGAGGAATTGAACATGGAAGCTGACATGAGGGAGGCGGTGTGCCACAAGGTAATGGAGGAGGGATTGAAGTCTTACCACAAGCACACATCAAATCAGTAAATATAGTTTCAAGACAAGGTGGACAATGACCACTGTGGCACAGCGATTCACACGCATGCTGTCCACACCTTAACTTCTTTCCACATGGCAACGAACAGAGGTGCGGATCCCAATCCGCATTTAGAACATTATTCGGATTCGAAAGTGGACAACAGCGTTCACTGCATCGATGCCTTCCACAATTCTTTTTCTGCCCACAAGGCTTTTGACAAGTAAATTTCTCATTCTCCGTTTTAGTCTTGCAACACTCCACAGTTCGGGAAGTCGAACCACATCGACACTTGTGCGAGACTAGAACCAAACAAGGAGAACAATCCCCAGCATGGCACACTTGTTGACAACGATGAATCCCGCAAGGAAGGGACTTGCCACATACCTGTGAACAGGTAGGTATTGGGTCTAAACAACTTTGACGTTCTTCTTCCAATCTAGTTTTCCCACAACAGCATGTCTTAATCCGGGACGGTAATAATTCACACTCCCCACAGGTGCCTGGATGGCAAGTATCCACACATACATGATTACGACAATCAAGCTTCCTTCCACAAGTGGAACCACAAGAAAAAACACCAGCTTGTGCTTTGAAATCACCCCTCACAGCGATGTCCCCACAAAGAATTACCTCCACCCTTTTACTGCAAAAACAAGAGGCATCCATGGGAAGTTGACAAGGATGACAAGGAGCCAAATGACAAATCCGCTGACACCGATGGCGGGCACATTGAAGAAGCTTCTGGCAGCGGTGGCCACAGGTAACATGCGAATGGCGGTGAGAGCAACGAGTGGTGATATTCTTGTTCCCACAAGGACACATTCGCGGAGGGGCAAAGGCCTTGCAAGGAGGGCAAGGACCGGGATGGCATTGCAAGACACAGACATGAGGGCAAAGAAGGTCCTCATCCCCTCCAAGGTCCCTCTGAGTCTGAGTCTCAAGAGGCTTGCCGCATGGCTCTCCACACGAGTGAGGCATGAGATAGAAATCTGAGGGGGGGTCAGGTCTCTTACCACAGAAGCAGACATACTTAATCTCCTTGGATGATGTGAGCTGCACAGACTGGCAACCAGGGCACCGCCAATTGAAACCCTGATTCTTGTCTACGGAGGAGTCCACCGAAGTGGGTGCGCGTGCCCACTTCTTTATGCAATTAAGGTGAAAGATAGAGAAGCAACTGGAGCAAGACCAGATTGGCGCAGACCTCCGCACCATGTCATAGCAAATCATGCATTCCACCACACCTTTCACGAGCTTCTCCTGAATCTCTCGCAGCAGTTGAGGCAAATTAGGGTCCCTCCTGGAGGAACCACCCTGTTCTCTAGGAATCCATCCCTGACGAGGAACCCTAGGCCGCTGGTTTGGCTCTTGCGAGCTCATCACTCCAACTTAGCTGGAGCCAAAGCAAAGGTTGTTGAGTTTAAGAAAAAAGAGGTTAAAGGTTGTTGGAGTTGTGTTATAAAATTAAATGTGAAAGGAGAAGCGCTTATATACACTTCTCTTTGCTGCTCAATCCTTGGACCTCAAGTAAAACGCGCTGCCTCTGCGTGCCCCTCACTCTATTCTTTTTCCTTTTTTTTTTTGTCAGATGTCACATAAAATAAATTACTTTTCGTCTATTTAATTATAACATTTACACTTTTATAATAATCTGCTTATTTTTTCTAATCTTTCGCGGATAACGTTGTTATTATAATCATGTAGCCTTTTGACGGGATACAAACATTACAAGTAAGAAATTATATAATTAAATTTATAATAAGTATATATATATATATATATATATATATGTATATGTATATACTAAATATATGTAAATAGTTATTAAAAATAATTTCACTAGAGACAATCATGCTAATTCTTAATATAATATTAAAAATTAATTATTATTCTAATTCATCTTGTGTACATGATAAATGTTTACTTTATATAATTATGATATATAATACATAATTATTTTTGAATATTTAAATTATATAATAATTAAAATTTGTAGTAATAAATATTTTTAAACACATAAATTATATTTTATATTATAATAAATATTTTTTAATTATTAATAATTTTAAAATACTAAAATTGAATTTAAAATTAAAAATAAAAGTTAAATTAAAAGAGACAAAGAGTTTTAAAAAAAAAATTAAAAAACACTCTTGTTAAAATAATAACTGAAAATATAATTAGTTTAAATTAGTTTCAAACGTTATATTTAAAATTTAAATTATGTGTAGATAAAATTTCATTTTTTTAAAACAATTCTAAGTTTTTTTTATGTATGATATATTAACTATTTGAAGGTACTAGTTGTGTTGTTCAGGGATGACAAATAAACCTATACTCATGAGTAATATTCAAATTTGTCCCAATTTTGACAGAGAATATCTGGTTTAACCGGGTACAAGTACGGATACAGGTATATTATTTACCCACCCATATCCATACCCGTCCCATTCCCATACTTGTTCTCATCACCGGTTTAATATCCATCCCGATTTAATTATGTTAAAAATTTTTAATATTTAATTATATGTAATTATTTATTATAATATAAAATATTTGTAATTGTTTAATTATTAAGAAGTTTCTTGATTAAAATATGAAATAGACAAATAATTTAATTATAAATGAAAAATAAGTTAAAGATATTGTATATTTTTTTTTTGAAAAAGAAAATAAATTTTTGCCGGATACGAATATAAATAGAAAGATGTGTTTGAGCCGCGGAAATGGAAACCAGTAACATGTGGCGTCCAATACAGCACCGGATTGCAATTTTGCTTCATGTGCACGATTTTTGGGGCTACCCTACGAATCTTGTAAGATATTTTAGTTTCTTTTTTCAGTTAGGCATTCAGATAAATGAGTAATGTCATTATATTATGAAACAATCGTCTGAAAAAAAAAAAATCGAACACTTAAAAGATTTACGTTCATCAATTCATATATTTAACTTTTTAAAAAATGAAGCCGTTTGAAGAATATTTCGGAATTCAATTTGAGGATTTAGTACTGTTGCAAATAGATAGAATTTAGTTCAATATCGTTGCTTCCTTACGCAAGACTCACCCACCACCTACCGCCACCGCACCGCTCATCATGGCGGCTGGTGTCAGACAACACCAAATCATTTGATTATTCAGAAAGGCAATTTTTTTTTGTTATTTGATATGTCGGAGATTCAACGTCAACTTAAAAATGTAAATGTAAATGTATATAAGCACATAACCATAATTATTTAAGAAGATAAATAATTAGTAGAATGGTTTTGTCGTAGCGAGGCTTTGGAAAACAATATATTTACAAAAATGGTGGAAAAGGAGAATACATATGAATATTGTGTGAGAGAAGAGAGAAGTGAGAAGTGAGAAAGCAGGGGAAGCAAACAAGACCTCTCTCTGCAATCTGAGTGTGAGTAATAGTAACACTATCTGGGTGTAGCGGAAATTCCCAAGGGAGAGGGAGAAAGTTGACGGTTCCATTCTGGGAAAAGGGATCTAAATCTAATCTCAGCCTCAGCCATCTTCTGAGACTCTTGCTTTATCTTCCGAACTTGGCTATGCTCCTTCACCTTCTCTCTGCCTTCGCGCAACTCCATCTCCCTTTCTACTTTCTACCCTCTGCACACGCACCTTTCTATCTCTATATATACACCCTCTCCTACGCCTCCACCACTTCAAAATTCAAACGTAAGGGAGAAGGGAACAATCCAGTTTCGTGGGAATGCTCTACCTTTTGCTTTCCACGTCGTTGAGTGTTGACGCATACACGCTACACAATTCTCTCTATGCCTATGCACTCACTCTTCATTTTAACATTCATAACATACTTTTTTTTTATTATTATTATTATTATTATTTCAACTAGGGACATAAACATACATCTTTAAAATAAATGAAATGACCACTTTCTTACGAAGTTGCCAAATTGGGTAATACGGCATTGGAGATTATTATAAAATTCTAATTATGCGAGTGAATGCGGGATGCTAATGGTATGATTAAGTATAAGAAATATGCGTGTGAAAGATGGTTGATTTGAAAATATCCACACCACACGGCTTCAACCAAGCTAAGGTCAAAAGTGTTAGTTTTGGATGGAGTAAAATAGATAAACATGAATAAAACAGGAAATGGTGAATGGTCCCATATATAACATTATTTTTCCATAATGAATTTAAAAGACAAAACGGCACGTCGACCGCAGTTTTTGGTTGGAAGGAGAAGTCAAAAACATGAAGAAGGGGTAGTGAGGTTAGCAAAACGTCATGGTGGAGGTGGCTACGTAGCCAGCGTGCAACAGTGTCAACTTCTTAGCAATAGCGTGCACCACGCCCTCACGTTTCTTAGTTAGCGTCAATCTTTACTTACCAAACAATATTTACTAATATTTTTCTACGTCAAAAAAGTTCATCACAAAGTTAAAAATAATTGTTAAATATTTTATTAAAATATATGAATGGTTAGTAAAAGAAGTCCTACACGAGTGAGAATTTCTCACTTGGATCCCACTAAAGCCATAAATAAAGCTTAGTGGTCCCCCTTCTTCTCATCCCAAAATTTCTCTTCTTTTCATTAATTTATTTTGAGAACTTTCTCTTGTTAATAGTATTTTCCTATTTTAAAGAGTGAATTTTAGAGTAAAAAGTAATGTAATTTTCTCTTTTAGTAAAGCTTTTTTATCATGTTTATTGTCTCTTTTTGCTCTTATTTTAGTTGAATGTTATTATTTAGTTACTCTAGTACCAAAAGTGGTTTCAAAGTCAATAGTTTGTTGGTATTATTCCAATGCGATGCACATTACTATAGTGCTGAAAAAAATTCTTAATATGTTATGTGGTTGTAGTATTGTTTATCTGTCACTTCAAAAAATTAAAAGTTATTCTTGTTATTAGATATATATATAGTGTGGTGGTGTGATTGTGCAAATATGGAAAAAGTTTTGGCAATGAATATTTAAGTGTGTTCATTAGTGACCTACCTTTCTTTTCAAAGAACTTACCTGGTGTGTACTAGTTTACAATCTGTCGCTATTGTTTCAGTAGGCGGTGCTATTCATAGTAGAAGTTGCATAAGTCGATTTAATTGATAGAGAAAAATTTAGAGAGAAATCACACTACAACACAAATAGGTTTTAGTATCATTTTACTAATTTGCTTTAGCAACATATTATCAAATGTTGTATATAGTCCATGTTACTAAAGACTTTTAATAACATTTTTATATAATTAAGTAACATTTTTCAAATGTTAGCAAAGTAGTATTTTTGTTTGCTAACATTTTAATGATGTTGCCAATATTTTGTTAATTTTATAAAATAATAATTAATTTTAATTTAGATATATTACTACCAATTATTATATTTTTATACCTCTTAAATTTCTAAGAGTTCTTTGAGAGAAGATTAAAGACATTCTTAATTCTTAATTAGTTACCACTTATTTATATATAATATCAAATTTTATTTATTAAGTATAACTATATGGTTATATATACTCTTTATGAGTCATTAATCTATTCGATGTGGGACTTTAATTATGAGTAACGATTAGAGATATGAGAAATTTACTTTTTTTTACTCGATGTGGGACTTTGATTTTAAAAACAATTATAGTAACATTTTTCAAAAAAAAATGTTGCAAAATAACCTATGTGAAATTTTTTTAGTCGATATGAGACTTTGATTTTGAAAATAATTAGAAAAAATAATATTGAAATAAAAAATGTTTATCTATAATGACATTTTTTAAAAAAGTGTTGTAAAATAACTTATTTATTTAATATATAGTAACATTTTAACAAATGTAAACAAGAAAATGTTGCTAAAGAATTAAAATCTAGTAGTGTCATGACAAGAAAATATGAGATAGAGAAATTTAAAGAGAGTCATTTTGAGGAATAAAAGGTGGAGAGAAATAAATGACAATGTTGTTGCCAATTTTCATTTAACAATGATTATTCAGTTTTGTCTGGTGTTGTAGAAAAAAAGACCACAAAGAAGATTTGAGATACTCTCATCAATTTGTATGAGGTCAAGCCACTTTACATCAAAATATTCTTTAAGAGAAAAACTCTACACTCTTCGAAGAGTGAGTCCATAACGACAACATCAATAATTTGAGTATGTTATTTGCTCAACTAGACTAAATCCTAATAGTTATAATTAAAATAATCTTATACTTAAATATGTAAGTATTACAGAATGACTCTCTTAAAGAGTGGATATTACACTTTCACGATCTTTGATGAACTCTTTAGATATTTTGCAAATGACTTTGGCCAAGTAGATTTTTTAAATCATTTTCACAATAGAGTTCGTCACCTTTCTCTGAAAAATTATAGGTATTTATAGACAATTGTATCTTGAGTTATGTCTTTTCATGAAGAGTTGTAACTCTCTATAATTTTTCAGAAAATAGGCTCTGGTAATCGATTACAAGAC